ATACAGCCAATTGAGTAAAACTTCACAACAACAAATGCTCAGTTTCAAGATCATAGGGGCATGAGTAAGATGATTACCTCAGATACTCTAGCAGACTGGCAGAATCCACATATGGTTATGTTTGATGATGGTTGATCTGAAATTACAGGTGTGATAAAATCTGATCCCTTTGAGGTTTTTCCATTTAACTGATCATCAGAGTTTGCACTGTAGTTGTCGTTAAAGTCGATATCAGCAGCTTTTTGCATCAGGTTCTTCTGCCTCTTGGGGACTTTCTGATGATTTTCCATTGCTTCAGAAGAGGTGATGTCACACTTCTTTTTCGCAGCTTGTTCGGGTACCTGCAGGAGGAAAAAGATTGATATACATCTTAAGCGGTAAGATCTCAAGAACAGAACGAAAACTCAGATAATTCAAAACAAAAAGTACACTTTTTTAAAAAACATGTCAATAAATGATTAAGAATGCATCATAAGTCAGGAAGATAATAATGATGAATCAAAATGGTCAACTTATGATGCAAGACGAAAATGCACCTGGTGTTTATGCGCTTTTACATGATCAGTGGGATCATTGTCTGATTCAGGCTGAAAATCATATGACCGGAGGCTCTCTATCAACAGCTGCACAGTCTGATCCTGAGTCTTAGGATTTGGATTAATTTCCTGCGAGTTTGGAACTGGAGAACCATCATGACTAGAGGCATCACCACAAATCCGCTTCCTCACACCCTTGTCAAACTGCTCAGAAGCAGTGATGTTACTCAGACTTTAGCTTTTCCTGTATGACTTTCCGGTGTCTGCAGCATTAAAAAGGGATCAATACATGACTTAGAAAGCATCAAAAATCGCATGATGAATCAAAATGGTCAAGTATTGCGAGGGTCATTCTCTGATTCAAACTCATCTGCTGCTTAGTCCAATTCTGATGCTTAGGTCTTGGATTGCTTTCTTCTGAGGTTGGAAGAGGAGAACCATCACGACTAGAGGAATCACTACCACTCCGCTTGATCACATCCTTGTGAAGAATCTCAGAATCTTCAGATCCACTGTCTTTTTGGCTGTTTGGATTGTTCAGTGTATCGTTCTTGTAGTTGCAATCATTCCGAATCTGTAACTGTGGACGATGAACACTAACAGCTGCATTCAAGCTTTTGTATATGCTTATAACACTCTCCATGAAATGAAGATTTCTCTGAGCTGCACATGAGTAATTACATACTGTCTTATCACGAGTCTTCCACAATGACAGTAACCACATTAATTGGATACTTACATTTTTTGGGATGTTTAGAATTGCAGACAAGACAGGCTGCTTCAACTTGCGATGATTTTCGTATACATGAACTGCCAAATTATTTCCGGAAATATAAGAATCAATTTTGAAATCAAATATGTAACGAATTCGTAAGATGAAGAGATGAAACAGATAAATCTCACTCGCAGAGGACGTGGTCACACGGAAGCAACACCGGTCGATTAAGCAATTTCAAACTGCAAATACGTAATTAATTGTTACGATTCCAGCAACACCATGAAAAGTTGATTTAACTATCGAACGATTGCTCAAAGAAAATCCATGAAAGTAAAAATTGGGAAGCTATAGTATAACCATAGTGGACACTTGAGCTCCAATCCGAGCTTCTGGAGATGAAGAACCCATGGATTCATCAACATGCTAGTAAAATCCGACGTTAGAGTTCACGAAGACAGATCTAAACGACAATGAAAGCTCTTGAAGCCAAAGAGAATGAAAGAAAATACACTTGCTCGTTTCGTCTCCGTGCGATTGGTATTTACTTGGAGACTCTTAGGGACACGTGTACGTACGAGATCAAACGGGGGGAGATGCTGATTTAATTAAGCGGCAGAAAAAGAAAAAAAATGAAATAACTCCCGTTTGCTATTTTACCC